CGCCGAGCCCGCGGCGCGCGCGCCGGGCGGGGGCCGCCATTCCGCGCGGGGCTCCGTGTGGGGAGGGCGGCGCGACGAGGGGCACCAGCCGGGAAGCCTCGCGGCGCTGGAGGAAAAAAAAGGAGATTTTTGATTTTTACCCTCGCAGGAGGGGCTGGGCCGGCGGTAACGGCCCGGGGGGGCCGGGGTCTCCTGGCCCTGCTCGGCCCCCCGAGCACGGGTACCAACGTGGCCGCAGAAGGGCCGTTTTGTGGGCGCTGAGGGCGAGGAGCGAACGGGGGGCTCAGCGGGGGGAAAAYGAAGACAAAACCGTGAGAAATGCACTGCTGAGGCGCTTCCAGCGTCATGCCCTGGTCTGCCCGCTCCCCCAGTATCCCGAAACTTGTTGCCAAACGATCGGCCCCTGGGTCGCCCTGTGAAGAGGGGTCGATCCGTCCGACGGGCTTAGTTCTGTGTTGTCGCCCCTTCCAAGAGCGCTCTGGGCGGCAAACAGAGCGGCGTGGCCCGTTCTGCCCCTTCACGGGCTGCTCCGGGGCTCCGGTGCCCTCACACAGGCGGGAAGCGCTGCTGGAGCCAACCTCGCACCTACCAGGAAGAGGGTTTCTTTCTTTTCCTTGTTTTTAATAATATGTTCAAAACAGGCAAAAAATTTAAAATCGTGGCTAGCGCCGTCTTATTTTCTAGTTCAGCTTAATGGGCCTGCTCTTCCCTCCCATCGCGCCTGCTTCGCCGGCCGCATGCAAAGAGGATGCCGGCGGTTCCTATTTGCAGGACTCCAACGTTGTTTTCAAGACCATTGCTCTTGGCCTTGCAGCCTGGCGTGCCTCGCTTTGCACGCAGGGGCAGCACTGCAGCTACCCTCCCGTGCGTGGTCTTGTCGCTCGGGGGAAACATCTGGGTAACGCACAAAAGAAGGACCCTTGGTTATTGCAGCTGGGTTTTGGGAATGGGGAGCGCACGCGCACTGGATTCCTGGTCTCCGGTGTTTTAGGTAAAGCCGAGGGCAACAGTTTCATCAGAGCCAGCGATACAAGGTTATGTTTGTGTTGCTGCTGCTAGAACCCAAGAGGGAACGGGCAGCTGGCGGATCATGTCCCCATTTTCAAGTTTTACCTCTATCTGGGCAGTTTACTCTGCAGGAGCAGTCTGAGCACATCACACAAAACACACTGCACGTTGGGGCTATAGCTATTCATATAGCTATTGAAAGGCTGTTATTTGCATTCTAAAAAGCAGAACATTTATTTATGGTATTTATTCTGATATATATTTCTGATGTACCTGGATCAGTTATTTCAGATTTTCTTCACTATGAAAAACTGGTACCCTTGGTGAGGAGACTAGGTGGAACAACTGTTAAAAATACATGAATTCACTTGATTTGTGAGAGAATTAAAGTGGTTAGAGACAAAAATTCAGCTACTCTGAAAATTATATCAGTGCRACAAAACACTTAAGGATGATTTTGTTGCCTTTTTCTTTTTTCTTTTTGACTATGAATATATTTTGCATTTCAGTCAGGCTTACTGTGAATTTTAACCAGGGTGTGAATTTTACTTATCTGCACTTGCACTATTCCAGTAAAATATTACTTTTCCCTTTTTCTTTCCTGCCCAGAATCTTTTTCATGTTCTGGGGGTGTGAAATTTTGTGGGGCTCTGTCAAGGCAAACTGTGGAAAATCTTTCAGAACGAGGTGCTACCAAGGTTAAGACTTCCAGAGATGTGACTGATAAGTTGGCCTGTCCCTGTCAAGTATTTGGTAATGCCCCCTTGGTTTCTTTTTTTTTTTTTTTTTTCCTATATATGGGCAGTTTATTTTTCCAGAGAAGTGTTGGGAAATCGCAGTTAGGTGCATTGTGTGTTAATATTTTAGCTCTTTACGCTTAACTGAGGACAAGTGGCAGAGGAAATAAGTTATTGTATCCAACTCAAACTCGTGCTTACACTTTGCATAAAAAAATGCGAAATTCCTGCAGTAACGTGAGCTGCTTCAGCTCCGAGCTGTGCTCTGTTTGTCCTGAGCTAGGATTTTCAGGAGAACACCAGGATTTGTGTCACCACTGGACACTGGCCTGCAGGGAGATTTTTGATAACCAGTTTTCTTAGACTTCRGTGAATTAACCTGATGAGAAGACAGAATGGGGAATAGCATGAAGAATCCTTAAACCAGGAGCTTCTACCTGCTCCTCCTGCTGTAGGAACTGGAGTGGGGCAGAGATCTGAAAACTCCTTGGAAAAAATAGGAATATATTTTAACGTGGTGCACAACCAGTTTTGAGAGCTTCCCGGGATGCCACCTAGGCCAAAAAAGATCCCAGCGCTCCGAGAAGGAAGAGGCCCTGCTCCGGCCAGTAAGGACAACCACAATCTGGTGATAAAAATGCTCCTGAAAGAAACATCTGCAGGAATTCTGGAGAAGAAGCCAACAAAACCATGTGCTCTAAGGTAGAGAGTAACCTCTGGCTACTGCAAATAATACCCCCGTGAGGGCATTTTCCCCAGGGTAACTTTTTCTATAAATAGGGTCTCTTGGCCATATTGAAGCATTTGGCTTTGGGCGCTGCTGGTGACAGGATTTAGGACTGGCTGAACTCGGGCTTGGGCCATTATTGTCACTGGGGTTATGAACATTCTCTTATTTTGCTTTCAAGAAGCTAAGAATAGAAGTATTCATGCAGTAAAAACATCCCTGCAGCTGTCTATGGGAGTGGGTGCTGTGCATGTGTCTGAAATGCACATCATTTTTAATAGCCATCAGGTGAAGCAACTTTTGCATTGGTTTCCCCAGCAAAATGGAAGCGATCTTCGAAAGACTTCCTTTAGCTAGGCAGAATGAGCTGCACATTGCTGCTAAATCTCATGTACGCGTGACATGTTCCCTTGCGTGTTTATATTATTGGCTGCCAAAAATACCAATTACAGACTAGGTATTTCTTTTGTGGACTTGTAGTGGTGTGATACGGTGCGTTGGAGGAGAGGGAGCTGATAAAACACAGATAGCACAGCTGGGGCTTCTTTCTTCAACATCAGTAGAATAGCCTGAGCCCACAGCTTGGTAAATCAAGCAGATTATTGAGAGGTCTCAGGTTTTATGTCTTTTTGTTAAGATACCTTGCTCCTTAGATTATTAAAGCTGTGGATGGTAATTTCAGTGCAAACTGAGCTGTAAGGAGCTGCACAGGGTGTTYGCCTGAGAATGGGCTCGCTGGGATGCTAACGAAGGCTGCAACACGGATCGCCTGTGCACAAGTGTGCTTGTGAGCTGGAATTATGAGTGTTGGGAG